TGATTCGATACTTGGACCAGTAGGAGCTCCGATTCATGAATTTGTTTTATGAATCATTATCCATTAGAGAATCAATGGTACTCAAGGATAAAGATGTAATTAGAGAAGTTAACGGATCTCTCTTAGCTCTAAGAATGAATTATTTATAGAGGATTGATCTATATGTAATGACTATATCAAATGGACATCTCACAATTTAAAAGTAATTCATGTCTATAATTACGAGATTGCAATTCTAAGTTTATGGTGGAGTAACCTTTGAAATTAATAGAATTAATTAATTATAGAGTTTAATTAATTATTAATTTTATTAGAGCTCAGAATTATAGATACATGAGTTCTCGTGTCATCCTTGTAATTCTACAAGACACTAATGGCAAAATGAGAAATTTAGAATTATAGAATTTTAAAAATAACGCTAAAGGATAATTAATTATAAATTAAATAATGTGATTATTTAAGTTTAAATTTGAATTTTAGAACACATATGTGAAGGTGTTCACATAGTGTGAGCGCTTAGCACAGTGTGAAATATGGGATTCTATTGCTTGCTCTCCAAGTTATCCATTTGACTTATTTGTTAAGTTGGCCAATTTTAAATTCAAATTAATTTAAGTTTCACTTAAATTTTAATTTTAATTTGAGTCAAAATTGGACTGCATGATAAATGTAGAATTTTGCCCTATTCCCTACCTGCAATTGCGGCTACCACAAGGAGGAATCTTCCTGTGGTGGCCGCCCAATATGTGTGTAAGGGAGAGTGGATTTTGTTTCAAAATCAAATTAGAAGTGGGAGATAATTGTCAAGCTTTATCTTGGAGATAAAGATTAGACTTCTTCTTGGAGTTTGACTACTACTTTATAAATAGGAAATTGTAGAAAGTTGAAGAACACAATTTTTGCTCTCCTAAGCATATAGTGGCCGAATTATAGAGTGTGTGGAAAGAAAAAATTTTCTTCTAAAATTCCACGTCATGCATGTGTTGGTGTTCATGAAAAATTATTTATGCATAAATTAATATAATCTATAGAGTATATCAAAGTTTTATGAAAACTTTTGTTATACACGATCCACTTCATACACACTTCCGCATCCAAAATTGTTTCGGAAACAAACATCTACTTTGAAGGCCGTTAATTACTTTGGCCACATTGGGACTGCCACCAACGAGCAAATACTTACACGTGCACACCCCTGCGACGTCATACCCTCCGGATCCACCGGACCCTGACAATGGTTTATAAGAAAGGATACCACTTACCAACAGTATGAAGAATTTTGAGGTGAAGTCTAAAAGCAAAACCGTGCGTTAAGGGTACATAAAAAACCGCCAAACCACCACGCCCACACCACACCGCACCGCAATTTATGTGGTACATCATCAAACCTCCAAATCGCGGTTTCAAACCACCCACTCCGCTATACATAATGGACAATTTCGGTTTGGGTTTTTCCTAAACTGCGGTTTATCAAAACTGCCGCACACTGCCAAACCGTAGTTCAAACCGCCCCATAATTACTATTATGCATAAATTATGAAATATATATCATGATGATTGTTTTAATGTTGATGATCATTTTATAGCTTAAAAATATAGTAAATTAATAATAATTGCCTTAAATTGTAGTAAAAACACGCAACAAAATTTGTTCGATATTTTATTTTATCTTTTTTAGTATTTTCCAACAAGTGTCTAATAAGGCTAAAACCGTTCTAACTGCCCGCCAATAGCCCTCCTCAAGTCACCCCGCCTGTCATTTAGAATGGCCAATCTTGGTTTGAATTTTTCTCAAACTGCCCTTTTAAGAAACCGCACCTCCCCACCTGAAAACCGCCAAACTGTTCGCTTATGCACCCCTACCGTGCGGGCTCAGGTCAAAACCAGACACCGCCAATAGTATGAGGCTTTTTGAGGTAAAGCCCAAAAGTGAAATCTTCATTAAGAGTTTGGATACTTGAGTGTCTAAATTCTTAAAATGGAGACCTAAATGCTAAAGATTATAAAGTTTGGTGACCCACAACGTAAAAATCCCTTTTCTAAAATGAGGTGAAACAAGTCATTTACAGTTGTTGAATGATTTACTTCGTGGCGAACCTCTAGTGAACACATGTGGGTGTGCGAATTGCCCGTTCAGGCCGAATAACACTGAGCAAAAGCATGTCTTGATGAGGTAATAAGAGGCCTTTTTACAATAATATTACAAATGTAGGGTGTGGATAAAGTTAATTGTAGAGAATATCAAACGTACCCTTAAGCTACTAGCTGGTATCTGCTATGATACCAACTAAAATCTAACTGCAATACCACTATTTGGCTGAGATATTGACTGGTATCTGTCGTGAAATCGTTTACCGATAGGTTACCAACCTATATCACTCGACAACAGACTGTACTACAACAAAAAATCCATTAAAAATTATACAAAAATTATACACATTTGCAAAAAATCTAAAGAATCAAATCACAACTATACAAAAAAATTTACCAAAAAAAACACAACATAATCCAAAATAATTGCAAAATCTCCACAAAATTCAAAAGAAATGAAAAATATCACAAAAACATCATCCAATCTCCAGAACACATCAGATCCACGACGGAGTAGCGTGGAGAAAAAGTCTGATATGGTGGGGGAGAATGTGCGAGATCGAGTATGAGATGGTGAAAAGCTTTGATCGAACATATGGTGCAATTTTATGTAAATTCATCGAGACGTTGTAGCGATCTCTGGCTAGATCTCCCTCGTACTCTTGCTCTGGTTTCACTGCATCGGCGTCGCAGATCTCCTCCCAGTGGTGGGAAGAAAGAAAAGAGAAGGTTGGAGATCGCAACGAGAATCCAACGATGAGATGAGAGAGAACTATTAGGCAAAGTGAGAGAGAGAGAGAGAGGGGAAAAGGATAGAGAAAACCCTAACTTAATTGAGCGTATTTTTGTTATGTAATATGGTAGAAAAATTGAATGGTTTTGTCTAAGACCGGCAATATGGGTCACGATATGACAATACGACTCGAAAACGATACGAATTTTACGGGTTAGGGTTGAGAAAAAAGAGGTTCGGGTCAGAATTTGGTCGACCTGAAATTGACACGAAAAATATGGGTCAATTTCATGTTGGACCCGCATAACCCGAACACGATACGAAACTTGTAAAAAACTAAAAAATACATATATTTTTCATTACATATTTTAAATTTTATTATGAACTTGTGATATCATGATAGTTATACTCAAAATCTTATACTATTATTTGCTTAATTTCAATGGATGTTATTGTAATATAGTGTGTTATGAATTTTAAGTTATTTCTAATATGTAAAAAACTAAATAAAAGTATACAATTTTTGTGTCAATTTCGTGTCACGGGTCATTTTCGGGCCGTGTCGTGTCAACTCGTAAAGTGGTCGTGTCGTGTTCGTGTTGCGGTTTTTAAAAAATTTCGTGTCACGGGTCGTGTTCAGATTGACTGCAAGTTTTAAAAAAATAATTAAAATACGACACGTAACACGAATTACCACCCCTAATTTTGTCCCTATGGCATAACTCAATCTTCAACTGAAAAGCTTAGCATCCCCTTTAGTTATCTCGATAATAAGAGAAAGTGTGAGTTGGCTACTGGCTATCAACTTTTTTTTCTTTCCCTCTCACTTTTTTTATCTCTCCGTAACAGTGTAACTCTACCTTTTTCGATCTATATTAAATACCATTCATACACTATTTAACTAAAATATTAAATGAAATAAATCTTAAAACTTAAAAAACTCTAATATAAGAGGGACATAAATGCTGTGTTGGCTACCTACGAGGGCGTTTGGGTTTTTTCCTACAAATTACAGATTATTTAGGATAGTTTCAATATTTTTCACAATTTAACCGATTTTAAAAAACACAAGGGATAAAGGTAGCGTTAAAAACACACAAAAGATATTTTAAGTATTTCGATAATAAAATAGATAAAAGTGGGCCCGTTCGGTTCGTTAATTCGAGTTTTTAATTTGAGTTCAAATGTGATGTTGTGTGAGAACTTTTTACTGTAGCAAAAAAATTAAATGTGACTGTTTTTAAAAACTCTTTACTATAACAAAACTCAAATTTTAAATTTAAATTAGCGTAAAGAACGGAGCGTACGCCTGATTTGGTATATGCGTCGAAGTGCCCCCACACACAACTAGTTTTTCACAAAAATTTCGGACTTTTGGGTTTTGGCGCTAAATTTTTCGGACTTTTGGGTTTTGGCGCTAAATTTAGGGGAGAGAGAGAGAAAGGAAAAGAGACCTCTTCTTTCAAACTCGGAAATCTCAAGCACAGAAATGGAACCAAAGGAAACTCCTTTCAGAGCATTTGGTCAGCAGTCTATCGCCTCTTCGTTTCTAAGTCCCTCTTCCAATCCGTAAGAGAAAAACAGAATGCAAACTTTTGAATTTTTCCTTACTTTCTTCTTTTCAATTTGATTTTTCGTTTTTTTTTTGTAATATGTACGGAAATAGTTTCAAGGCTTCGAAAGATAAGACCAAAAACGAAGCTTCGGAGAAGGGCTCGCTCTCGGATTTCCTCCAACGGAAGCTCAACGAAACTTCTGGACTTCCCGGGACGGTGAAAGTACTCTTTTGTGTACCCAATTTCTTTGCTTTTGGCAAGATAAGAGAAATCGGATTAGGGTTTTTTTACGATTTAGTATTTTTGAATGAATTAGAAAATAGAAACCGAAATGGGGATGAAGTTAGAAGAATTTTGTGCTTGATGATGTAGTTTTTTCAGGGTTTGGTTCAGACTTCAGCGTTTAGGCTATCTTGGCTTTAAACGATAACAAATGTTAACTAAGAAAAAGGGGGAAAAATGCTGAATCAGTTTTCAATGTTTGTTTATTATGGAAATGTCAAGCAATTTTCTGGCACCTTGACTTAAGCCAAATCATCGTTTTTTCAATAAGCTCGCGGTGGATCACTAATGGAGTGGTGCGATGGTTTGGATTTTTTCTTTTTCTCCTCTCTCGGGATGGGTTTAAGGTTCGATACTCTAGAGCCCCGTTTTGAGGTTTTTGCTTGGTTAACGATGTCGGCTTGTGGCAGTGAAATTGAGCTGATTCTTTGAGTAGAATCGTGTCTAAGTCTTTACCGCGCCATTAGTGAATCTAGGAATTTCTCCTCTAGATGAAGGAGATTAGGGACGGAATGGCACTAATGATCATTATTTTTTCAGAGCACGCAGAAAAAAAGAAGAAAAAAAAAAGCTCAAGGTCAACGGTAGAGTTTTTATTTTTTTATATAAATAGAATTTCAACATTTGACTGGACCATCTGGATGATTTACTTGTTAAGTATCCTCTAGTTTTTTAGTTTGTAATTTAGGATTGACTTGGTGTCATTATGGGCAGGGGAAATCAAAACCCTTTTCGTCTTTGTTGGGACCGAGAGAGAGCGGTGGTGGGTCCATTGATGAGCAAGCTGAGGCAAAGAAAGGAGGGGCAGCAGACTTGAATTCTGTTGTTGAGAAAGTTGTTCTTGAACAGTTCAAGCATAGTGGTACATTAGAAGGAGATTGTGTTGGCCCAAGCAGTGCTGGCGGAGCAGAAAATTGCGACAAAACCATAGTTCGAGGATTGAGAAAGAGGAAGAACTTGGAAGGTTTGTACTTTGTAATCCTGGTTTAAATCTCTCACTAACTTAGAGCATTGTTTTCTTACTGTTACAAATGGCTTCAGTTTTTCCTTATTGTTGATTTCTATTGGTGATAACAATGAGGGATTGTAATCACTTTGCATGCCTTTATGTGAGATTGTCACTAGAATTTGGAGTTCCTTCGCTTTTGTCTGCACTCATTATCAAGCAGGATAGAAGATTGACCAAGCAATGATGATAATTCTGTTCATCTATGCAAATATGCGTTTTCAACCAAATTGCAGGAAAGATGCGGTTTTGCAACAACATCACATATCTCCCATCAAATTTGAAACCAATGAATGAAGAAAATAAGATTGATAGAATGTACATTCCATGCAAAAGATGGGCAACCAAGCTGGTTTCTTTTTGGTAGAATGATTTGACCATAGCATATGTAGAGTGGCTGGTTAGTTACTTATAACGAGATTGCAAAAGAGAAGTTTTTAACTGGAGCCAACTATTACCATCTCTCTCTCCTAGTTTGTATCATTTTCTTGCTTCAATCTTAAGTCACAACCTTTATTTGATCTTCTAGATCTGAATGCATAGGTGGGCATGAGAGACAAATTCCCCGAAAGCATTTTGCAGTTCTTGGAGGGAATTTGAAGCTTAAGCAGCAAAGAAGGGACGGGGACCTTACTAACAGAGAGAATCTTAAAACTGCATATAATCACTGTTAGTATATGGTTACATCTTTGACTTTGAAGAGGAAAACTCGAATCGATTTCGATTAACTTGCTCAAAATTTGTTTACATTTGTTCTCTCCTAATGGTGCTTGGGACATTTTGGTTCTCTACTTTTTGGTTGCAGATGCAAATGGTGGTGGCTGGTGGGACAACAACATTGAGGGTGTTGACAATGAAGAAGTTGGGTTTAGTGAGGTATGGGAAGGAGTGGGATCCACCACTTTTGGGGGAATTGCAGACTGGCATTAATCTGTATGATTTGACTAGCATGTTTATAAAAAGCTTGAAGTAATAGACTTCTCCACTTTCTATTCTTGGCGATGTTTCATTAAGGTTATATCTCAAAACACCAAAAAAATCAACGGAAAAGCTAGCAAATTAATTGGTTCAGGGGATTGAAATGCAGGAAAATTGAAACTCACCCTCTGACTAATTCACTTTTGAATGGCTAATTGCCAGAGCTGAGAGGTCTGATAACTAGTCAAACAAAATGACTAAAGACTTGTTCATTTACATTTTTTGAGTTAGGGAACTTAGGGTGATTTGAGTTCAGATCTTTAAAATTTCTAATAGTTCAAATGCGTTTGGATTCCAATGGGTTTGTGTATAAGAGATCTGTAGTATCTGTGAGAATGCTCGTTTAGCTGCTCGTGTTTTCTTGCCGTGCCTATTTCTTTGGACTTGTAGGACGAGAAATGCCGTGGCTCATAGTTTGTGTTGATTGGTTCTTTCAGTCTCCGAAGTAGGTTTTTGCCTGGGTATGAGGCTATGTTGAGCTTGGTGGCTAGCATCTGCTAGCAGGCTTGAGTTTTTTTTTTTTTTTTTTTACCTGTTTTACCAGCTTCTGTTTTTGTTATGTTTACCTTGGCCTTTGCCCCTTGTATTTAGGGCTGTAAGAAATCACCTCGAACCTGACCAATCCGTCTGAGCCGAGCCGACCTTATTCGAAAATCACGGGTTTTCAATTTTTTATTTAATTTTCAGTTTTAATTATGCTTAACTCGTTCTGTGCGGGTAGGGGCGCGGGATGAGGTTACATGAATTTGAGGTAACTTTACTCGGCCGAACATGTTCAAAGTAGGTAAAACAATGTCCAACACTTCAAATTCTTACTTTCATAAGTTTATGGACTTTATGTTTTTAAATTGTTAATTTATTTATGTTTTGGATTCACGGTTTGTGTAAAAAATGTTTGTATGTCATAGTTGTTGAATTAGGACATTTTTTATTTATATTGGAATTGTTTGATTTCAAAGTGAGTGTTTTAATTGTTCACTTTGCATTTAGACTCCTTGAAGGAAAGACATGTTCTGTTTAATAATGATTTCTTCTGTAACAAGCACAGATTAATTGACTAAAAATTGATTAAAATTGGTTTTCACCAACCCGAGTAATTTGACTTTACCCGAGGTCACCCGAAAGGTTGTGGGTTTGTAGACTTAAGAGAGTGTCACGGCCTAAAATTTTCTCAACCCGCACTGGTCGGGTAGGCTCAATTTTTCGGCTCAACCCTACCCTACCCGACCGATTTACACCCCTACTTGTATTGAAGCTTTTATTCACAAAAAAAAAGCCTATATTTTGATAAAGCAAAATCCTCTAGGGTGCGTTTAGAGCAAAGATTTGTGTCATGGTTCGAATTAAAATTCGTGGTTTGTTATAATGTTCTCTCATAAAAATACGTAAATTGAGAATGATTTTGAATTATAGTTCTAAATCTATAAACTAAACGTGTTTATTTTTTTGGTTGAAGAAGAATCATCGAGCATAAAATGTAACTAACGTTGATTTTAGTGTAACTATTGCCTTCTTAACTAATTTGAATTAATTACAAAAAGTTCTTTTGAATTATACTTGTAACATTTTTGTTTCAATTTTTGAAATGTAATATATGTTCTTCCTGAATAATAAAATATTAACAAAAAAGTCTCATCCGTAAGGTTTTCAATTGAAATTGACATTTAATTTATTATTTTGAGAGTATTTTGGTAATTCTATAGTTTACAATTTTATTAGAATTTAAAATAACTTGAATATTAAAAAAAAACCTTCTTAAATTTTTTTATTCTACCAAAAAGATTTATAAAATTTTTAACTTATATTTAATCAATAATAAATGTATCATAATTAAAAGTTTAAATTTAAATTAGTTTTAAACTCAAACAAAAATTTTAAATTATAATGCTACTAAAATACTTAAAAATAATAAATTAAATATCAATTTCCGCTAAAAAAATATAACGTGGTAGGGGGTGGCTTTAATATTTTATTGTTCAGGATGAATATATGTTACATTTTAAAAATTAGTGGCAAAGTATTATAATGGGTATAATTTAGAAGAAATTTTTACAATTAATCCAAATTGACGACTTTCAACACTAAGGGCCCGTTTAGTTCGCTGATTCGAGTTGAGATGTGAATTTATATGTGAGCTTTTTACTATAACAAAAAAGTTAAATGTGATTGTTTCTGAGAGCTTTTTACTGTAGCAAAACTTAAATCGGTGAAATAAATGAGACCTAAGGAAACATTTCCAGAATTTACTAGAATGAAGTATGCTGAGCAAGAATTACAAAATAAATAAATGAATGAAAAGGATATGAATTACAAAAAATAAAAAAAAAATAAAAAAAAAATGAATGAAAAGTATATACAAAATTGCTAATTACAAAAATTCCTCGAGTTATACTTATTGTAACACTTTGTTACTTGATCTTTAAAACGTAATATCCATTCATCTGATAAAGCTCCTCTAACTTAAGGATCTATTCATGATGTTTCTGTCTCTTTATTGTACATTAATTCTAAAAATCACAAAATTCGGCCGTAAATTACCTTTCTACCACGAATTTCAACACTAAGGTAATTTCATTTCACCGATTTGAGTTTTGAATTCGAATTTTACTGCAATAAAAAACTCTCAGAAACAGTCACATCTAACTTTTTAACTACAGTAAAAAATTCTCACATAAATTCACATCTTAACTCGAATTAAAAACTCGAAGCAACGAATTAAACATGCCCTAAGTCTCTCCGTTTGTTATGAGGGTTTATAACTATGATTAATGATTCTGATTTTTAAAATTTAAATTTTTTATAAGAGAAAAATGCTATAACAAATCAAGAATTATGATCCTAAATCAAGTCAGAACTCTTGAAAAGTTGAAAGTCTGATTTTGATCTTAAAGATATGATCAAAATAATATCAAAATAGCAAAAATTGCAAAACGAACAAAATTGTCTTTTTTTTTTTCATTGGAAGCCCAAGCAGTCGTATTGTGGATTTGTAAGCCACAACTTTTTTTTTTTCATTGGAAGCCCAAGCAGTCATTGTGGATTTGTGAGCCACAGAATCAAGGGTTCTACGCAAATTACAGAAAAAGGAAGAAAAGAAAAAAGTCTTGGGGTGAGAGAGGCTCGAACTCTCGACCTCAGGATCACTCAATGTTACGCTATGAGACCTACGCGCTAGCCAACTGCGCCACCACCCCGTACGGTGTGCCCTAAAACTCAAACTAATAATTTATATGGATAGCAGTCAATTAATATAGGTGAATTGTGTTATCTTTTATCTCTACGTTTTAAGTAGAGATGAAGAAGTGTTTTGAGTCAAAGCGTTTTGATTGTTGTTTCGATACTGCCTGGAAAAGAACTTTTCGAATCAAAATGAGCTTCTCAACCTATGTGGTAAAATTAATCAAAAGCTATTATTGTTGGAAAAACTGAATATAACACACAAATATGAATGAAAATTTTAATTTATTTTCTATAAATAAAAGGTTAAGAATCTCAATCTATATCTACATACAAGAAATGAAAAAGTCTACTTTAAATAGTGTACTTTCAATCAAAATGACCCACTTGAAAGTGAATCATTAATTTTTTTAAAGATCTTTCTCCTTTTTTTTTTTTTTTTTTTTTTTTTTTTTTTTTTTTCTTTTTTTTTTTTTTTTTTTTTTTTTTTTTTTTTGCAGTCTTTCACTTTTATTTTTACCTTTTTACTTTTTATCCTAAAATTTATTCATTTATTCATTTTGTTCCTTTTAACTTTTTATTTTTTCTTTTGCCCTAAAATTTTATTTTTATGTATATTTTGATTTCTTTTCCCTTAAAACTTGTTCATTTTCCCATTTTAATCATTTTGACAATTTTTCTTTACATCTTGCCCTAAAACTTTCTTTTCAAGTTCTATATTTATTTATTTTTTCTTTTTACCTTAAAACTTGTTTATTTCTTCATTTTAGTCATTTTTTTTTATCCTTTTACATTTGTCCTACAATTTTAATTTTTTCCGTTTTGGTTCATTTTACTCTAAAATTTATTCATTTCTTAATTTTAGTCCTTATTTTTTACCCTTTTTTATTTTTGCCTATAACTTTACTTTTGTCATTTTGATTCCTTTTGCCTAAAAAATTATATATTTCTTCATTTTAGTCCTTTTTTACTTTTTTCTTTATTTTTACCCTAATTTTTTTTTTTTCCGTTTTAGTTCCTTTTACCCTAAAACTTATTCATCTTGTCATTTTGGTCCCTTTGACTTTTTCTTCGCTTCTTGCCCTAAAACTTTACTCTTTTTTTCCCACTTTGGTTCTTCTTTGGAATTTTATATGTTTCTAATAATAACATGATAATTAAAACTTAACACACGAATTACTCCTTACGTGCATGGAGTTCAATCAGTCTAAATTAAAAAGCTTTTTATAAGCCTAAAGGAGTTGCCGTGTTCCAAAATAGCCTATAACAATCAAAAGCACATTAAATGTGTCCATCCAAAAGTGGCTTTGAACTGAACAAACTAAAAACAACTTTTTATTTCTAATAACATCAAATGATTATTTTTAAACTCCAATGTTTAGTATACGTCTTTTTTTTTTGATACAATATAGGATTAAACCCATAATCTCCCACCTAAATTCCACCCCACCCCAACCCCAATGTCACTAGACTAAGACGTCTTAGGCTTTAGGATACGTTATTAATTCAACAATATTGCAAAATCTGTATATTTATTATAATATCATTTTGAATATACCCTTTTTTATTGGGGGGTTATATTTTAATGGTACTTAATAAAAGATAAAAATGTTATTATAATTATTTTACAGGCTTATGTAAAAATCACAACTTGTACACATTCCTTTTCTAATCCATTGCAAAATGGATTTATGTAATTATCTTTTTTTTTAAACCAATTCAAACAGGTTGATACATCATACAGCTCATATTTCTAGCACTGCGAGCTCATAAATTTAAAAAATATTTTTCTTTCTGGTAGCAAAATATTTTAAGGAAAATATCTTTTTGTACATGTAGTTTATTAACACTTTCTTCAGTTCATATCCAATGTTCAAAAAATTCTATTGAAATACTTTGTTACCTTTCAATCCTAAACATTGTGCTCAAAAGCATAAAATTCTAAAAGAACTATAAACTCTAAAAATATCAAATAACCAAGCTTTTCATTTGTATTTTTATTACATTTTATTTATTTTTTAAATTAAAAGAGCATATAAAGGACTTAGTTTCTGAAAATGATTTCTTAATGATGAGTTAGTTTTATACCAATTTATTAAACTCTTGTAGGTTTAATATTAGCTAGTATTAAGGTATTTTATTAGCAAATTGATCTCGTTTTAATCTAATTCTGCAGGATGGATGCAAGCTTGATAATCTACCAAAGATAACCATTAAAAACCCACAATTAATTAGGCCCAGTTTCAGCCCATTAAAAGCCCACAAACGGAGGAGGCTAAATTTGGATATCACGGTTTTGTGCTTTCTTCCTGAGATTGAACACTGGATTTGGGGGTTGATTTGGAGAGGATAGAGAGTGCAAATTCTGTGGAGAAAACCCTATCTTAAGGGAGAGTTTGAAAATGAAAACTAGAGGAAGATCCGGAAGTAGAAGGAGAGTTGCTGAGAGAGAAAGTTTTGCGGGGAGAGAATCAGGTTTAAACCAAAAAACCAGGAACAGTCATAGGAGATTTTCCTGGCAGTTTAGCGGAGAGAAAAGGGGAAAAGAATACGGATTCACCCAGAGCTTTTGGAAGGAGATTCGGCCAGGGCTTTTGGGAGGAGATTGACCCAGAGAAATTGCTGAGGAGGAACGGCAGAGACTTGGTGGAAAACCATCTTTGAAGTTTGTCCAGGCAGATTATTACCCTTCTTTTCTTCTTTTCTTCTTTCGTGAAGCACATGGTGATGTCTTCTAGAATTGTCTTTGTTTTATTTAATTTAGTTATGGTTTAATACTTTTAGTTAGAGATTGATGGATCCGAACCTATGATTTCTGAGTTTCAATTTGAATGAGTTGCAATTTATTATTTTTTCGTGAAGAGTGTGTTCTATTGTTCTTAGGACTTTTTATTTATTTAGTTGGGAATTGATCATAGTGATGTTTCGGATAGAGAAGCTATGTGATATGAAACATTAAATTGTGAATTGAATCTTGGATGTGAATAATATTCAAGCAAAATACAGAACATGCCATAAGTGGATGAGGAGTAACCGAATAGGGAGTTTAGGACATTCATGTGGTCAGTTTAAGTTGTAACCGAGAAGGATATTTAACCGAAAGAGGATTTCACAAAATCTAATGCATCTCATTTTGAATTAATCTAGAGTAGACCTGAAATAAGGATATTTGAAGTTAAGAATGTATGTGATAGTTGATTAGACCCGAAATATGGATAATTGAACATTAAGGAATTCTACCATCTCATGTTTGATAATAATTGAGATTCATTCTTTTGAACTTGTGGATGAACCGGTGTAGGTGAAATCAACTCTCTAACGTTTTCTCTCATTGATTTCTCTCTTGAATCTTGCATCTTTATATTTTTTTTGATTTTTAATCTTTATTTAGTTTTGATTCACATTACTCCCAATTTCACAATCTCAAATAACGTAGTCGGTTTTATCACTTTATTTGTGAATTTTACCAATCCTCGTTGGGAACGACATCTTACTTATCACTTTATTACTTGAACGATTGGTGCACTTACTAGTGTTAATTTTATTGCATCAAGTTTTTGGCGCCGTTGCTGGGGATTGAGTTAGAAATTTACACTTATTGTGATTTAATCCGTTAATTTGAGAACTTTTATTCATTATTTTTAGTTTTTTTTTAGGTTTTTCTTCTCTAGTACATGACACGTGCTAGAGGGGAGACACTTGAAGAATTTGATCTCGAAATTGAGCGAACAGCCCATAATTTGAGGAGAATGGTAGCCGCACCTGCTAACATGATGGAGGACGAAGACAATGGAGACCACTGAGAGATTATGCCATGCCATCAATGGAAGGAGCCGAATCTAGCATAAGAAGACTGACAATTAAAGCAATAATTTTGAGATCAAGCCGGCCATCATTAAATGATTCAACTCTCGGTACAATTTAGAGGTTTATCACAAGAAGATCCCAATGTCCACTGGAAAATTTCCTGGAGATCAGTGATACTTTTAAGCATAATGGAGTGTCAGAAGATGCTATTCGTCTGCGGCTTTTTCCATTCTCATTGAGGGATAAGGCAAAAAGTTGGTTAATCTCTTTACCTTCAGGATCCATCACCACATGGGAGCAAATGGCACAAAAATTCCTAGGTAAGTATTTCCCACCTGCAAAAACTGCAAAATTACGAAACGAAATTATTATGTTTTTGCAGGTCGAGAATGAATCACTCTATGAGGCATGTGAATGCTTTAAAGATCTACTGAGAAAGTGTCCTCACCACAGGTTACCAATATGGCTTCAGGTACAAACATTTTATAATGGTTCTACGGCCACAATCCGTAATATGATTGATGCAGCTGCAGGTGGAACAATAATGAGAAAAACGCCTGAACAAGCCTATGAGTTGCTAGATGAAATGGCTGCAAAATTCTTACCAATGGCCTGCGGAGAGACTCCCTGCTAAGAGGGCCGCGGGTTTACACAATGTAGATGCCATCATTGCTTTAGCGGCACAAATGGAGGCTCTCAATAGGAAGATGGATGGACTGCAACTCCCAATATCCAATACATGTGATTTTTGTGGAGGCAGCCACCCAAACCATGAATGCCAAACAGGTGACCAAGTCGCATCTAGTTCACTTTCTGAGCAGGCACACTTTTTTATCAAATTTCCATAGGCAAAACAACCCGTATAGCAACACCTATAAGCTGGGATGGAGAAATCACCCGAACTTTGCATGGAATCAAAATAATGTGAAGCAACCACCTCCCGGATTCCCACCTCAAGAGAAGAAATCAAATTTAGAGGATATGATGGCTAAGTTCCTGAGCACAGCTGAAACAAGAGTTCAGAATCAAGAAGCTTCAATACAAAATCTAAAAGTTCAAATAGGGCAACTTGCAAACCTGGTTTCAAGGCGTACACAAGGTTCCCTCCCAAGCAACACCGAGAAGAACCCCAAGGAGCAAGTTAAGGCCATGGCATTGAGGAGTGGGAAACAATTGGATGAGCCAACTACTAAGGTGACTGAGTCCAACATACAAGAGGACTCAACCATTATTGAAGAGAAAGAAGAAACAACCACTCAAGAGGAGAGGTTGAATTTGAATAAGAAATCTAAGGAAAAAGGGGTGAAGAATTCTGACTTAACATCTGAAAAGTACATGCCTCATCTTCCATACCCCCAAAGGCTCAAGCAAGACAAGCTAGATAAGCACTTTTCTAAATTTTTAGAAATTTTTAAAAAATTGCAAATTAACATTCCTTTTGCTGAAGCCTTGTCACAGATGCCCAGCTATGCTAAATTCTTGAAGGAAATCTTGTCCAACAAAAGAAGGTTGGAAGAACGTGGAACAATCATGTTGACAGAAGAATGCAGCGCCATTCCACAGAATAAGTTGCCTCCTAAATTGAAAGATCCATGGAGTTTCACTATTCCTTGCACTTTAAGAAATTAGAATTTTAATAAAGCGTTATGTGATTTAGGTGCAAGCATTAATCTTATGCCTCTTTCAATTTTCAGGAAGCTTGGTTTAGGAAAAGTCAAGGCAACCACTGTGTCCTTACAATTGGCAGACCGTTCAATAAAGAGACCATGGGGAATTATTGAAGACGTACTAGTAAAAGTGGATAAATTTATTTTCCCCATGGATTTCATTGTCCTTGATATGGAGGAAGACTAAGAAGTGCCGCTAATCTTGGGACGACCATTCCTTGCCACGAGAAGAGCTTTGATTGATGTGCACTAAGGAAAACTCCTTCTAAGATTGAATGATGATAAAGTGGTATTCGACATGTATAAAATTATGAAACATCCTTCTGACTCTTTGTCAACTTCTTGTTTTCAGGTGGATATCTTTGATGATCTTGTTGAGGAGTGCTAAATGAAATCTCTTGAGGATGATCCTTTAGAAAGATGCATTATGGAGTCTGGGACCACTATGGATGAGGAGAACACATTTCAATAAGAAGCCAAAAATCTCAAAGAATTATGAGGACAACCTGAGAGAACAAAAGCCAAAACTAGAACTCAAAGTCCTTCCATCTCATCTCAAATATGCTTATTTAGAACGTGAGGCATTTCCTGTAATTATCTCTTCTTTATTGACAGGTGATATGGAAGAAAAATTGTTGGAAGTTCTAAGAAGACATATGAAGGCAATAGGTTGGACCATAGCAAACACTAAGGGAATCAATCCATCCATTTGCACACACAAGATCCTCATGCAGGAAAATTTCACGCCCAAGGTTCAACCTCAAAGGCGCCTCAATCCAACAATCCAGGAGGTAGTAAAGAAGGAAGTGGTCAAATTGCTCAACGCATGTATTGTCTATCCCATTTCTGATAGTGCATGGATTAGGCTGGTACAAGTAGTACCAAAGAAAGGTGGGATAACAGTGGTTGAAAATGAGAATAATGAATTAATACCTACTCTAACTGTTACAGGGTGGCATGTTTGTATTGACTATAGAAAATTAAATGATGCCACAAGAAAAGATCACTTTCCCTTACCATTTATTGATCAAATGTTGGAGACATTGGTAGGTTACAAGTACTATTATTTTCTGGATGGCTATTCAGGATACAATCAAATCTCTATTGCCCCCGAGGACCAGGAGAAAACAACCTTCGCATGCCCCTATGGCACATTTGCTTACAGAAGAATGCCTTTCGGCCTCTGTAATGCACCAGCAACATTCCAACGTTGCATGATGGCAATCTTCTCAGACATGAACGAAAAATTTTTGGAAATTTTTATGGATGACTTTACATTGTTTAGTCTAACATTTGAAGATTGTCTTCATCATTTATCATTGGTTTTGCAGCGGTGTGAAGAAACGAACCTCATACTTAATTGGGAAAAGGCCATTTTATGGTTCAATAAGGGATAGTTCTAGGGCATAAGATCTCCTCCAAGGGGATTGAAGTTGATAGGGCAAAAGTGGAGGTGATCGAGAACGTACCTCCACCAACTACAGTTAAAGCTATTAGAAGCTTCCTCGGGCATGTAAGAATTTATAGGAGATTTATCAAAGATTTCTCAAAAATCTCAAAACCTCTTTCTAATCTCCTCATAAAAGATACTAAGTTTGAGTTTTCTGATGTGTGCTTGCAGGCATTTCAGGTGTTAAAGGAGAAGCTTGTGACCGCCCCTATTGTAGTACCACCGGATTGGAGCCATCCTTTTGAAATGATGTGCGATGCGAGTGATACTGCAGTGGGGGCCGTGCTTGGTCAAAGAAAGGACAAGGTTTTTCGGGCTATCTATTATGCAAGTCGCACCCTCACCAGACCTCAATTAAATTATGCTACAACTAAAAAAGAACTTTTGGTTGTAGTATTTGCATGCGATAAATTTAGATCATATCTAATGGGGTCAAGAGTCACTGTTTACACTGACCATGCAGCTTTGAAGTTTCTTTTAGCTAAGAGGGACGCTAAGCCAAGACTGTTGAGATGCATTCTTCTCCTTCAAGAATTAGACTTGGAGATCAAGGACAAGAAGGGGACATATAATCTAGTGGCTGACCACCTTTCAAGGCTACAAAATACAATTAAGGAGTATAAGGACATAAATGAGGAGTTTCCTGATGAACAAATTTTTTCTATCTCTACTCGTTCTCCTAATTCACATGTTACTGAAATTCCTTGGTTTGCAGACTTTGCTAATTATCATGTAGGGAATTTTTTTGTAGGGAAATGGATTCCGGTGCACTACACTTATCAACAAAAGAAGAAGTTCTTCTCAGATGTGAAGCACAATTTTTGGGAGGATCCAAATCTTTACAAAATGTGTGTGGATCAAGTAATTCGAAGGTGTGTACTCGAGGATGAATTTTCTAACATTTTACATCATTGTCATGACAGGGAAGCATGTGGACACTTTGGGGCTAACCGAACTGCATCAAAGGTACTTCAATCTGGATTCTATTGTCCAACACTCTTCAAGGATGCCCATGCGTATGTTGCTGCATGTGATAGATGTCAACAAACTGGTGACATCTGAAAAAGGAATGAATTGCCTTTAAATAACATTCTTATTTGTGAAATATTTGATGTCTGGGGCATTGATTTTATGGGGCCTTATCCCCCATCTTTTTCTAATGAGTATGTTCTAGTTGCGGTTGATTATGTTTCTAAATGAGTAGAAGCTGTTGCAACACGCACCAATGATGCCAAGGTAGTGGTCTAATTTCTTAAGAAAAACATTTTCACACGGTTTGGGATTCCTAGAGCCATAATAAGCGATCGGGGAAAAGACTTTGATAATCGTTAGTTTGACGCTTTACTAGGAAAGTATGGAGTGACTCATAAAATGGGCACCACGTACCATGCTCAAACTAGTGGTCAGGTAGAGGTTTCAAATAGGGAGCTGAAACGCATTCTTGAAAAGACTGTGAACACCTCTAGGAAGGATTGGGCATTTAAGTTGGATGACGCTTTGTGGGTGTATAGGACATCCTTTAAGACCCCAATAGGAATGTCTCCATATAGGTTGGTTTTTGGAAAAGCTTGTCATCTCCCCGTGGAACTAGAACATAAGGCATATTGGGCTACTAAATTCTTAAATTTTGATTTGCAAGCTGCAGGGGAAAAACATCTATTGCAGGTGGATAAGCTTGAAGAGTTTAGACCGGGAGCTTATGAAATAGCAAGGATTTACAAGGAACAAATGAAAAAGTGACATGACAAAAACATTAGAAGGATTTTGTTCCCGGTCAATAAGTTCTTTTGTACAATACCTAACTTCGTCTCTTTCCAGGAAAGCTCAAATCCAGGTGGACCGGGCTTTATATAGTGCTAAACGTGTCTCCTTTCGGTGCAATTAAAATTCGTCACAACAAGTACAATGACACATTCAAGGTCAATGGGCATCACTTAAAGCACTACATCACTTGAGCATTTAATCCTCAATCTGTCACCACAGTGTTACAAGACACATGAATGGAAAAGTCAAGCTAACGACTATAACTTAGAACTAAATGCTCTATTCTTTTAGTTTTATATTTTTCATGCATTTGATATCCTAGTTAGAGATAGTCATAGTTTCAATCTTTTATTTTTTTTATTCCTTATTTTTTTTTAAAATATTTCTCTCTATTTGTAGATGCAACAGTACATAAGACAACTTGAGAATTGCTCAGCATCACAGGGCGTTAAAAGAGAAAATTGCTGAGATGTTGATGCTCCTAGCATGTCAACAAGATCTCGGTAACAGTCAGGGCAGTATGTTCTCTTTCTCCCTTTATTTTCATTTGTGACATTGGGGACAATGTAAAGTATAAGTGTGGGGGAGGTTTTTCGATTTAGTTTATGAACTAAAATTGTTGAGAAGGTTTTGATTGGAATGATTTGTAGCTCTTGGAAAATGGAAAATCATGCTTTGAATCTGTGTGCTTGGATCTGGTGTTGGTTTGTTGTGTCTGTGATTTGTCTCGGGTATGTGAATATATAATCAGGATCACTTAGCTGTGTGCATTTTATAAGAAACCTTATGCAGATTTAGAAACTCTTGTGAGCTCACTGGATTCTAGAACTTGTTTGATTACCTCTTGAGGTGAAATCCTAGACAACACATTGAATTTAAAGATGATTTAGGCCATTTTTGGACCGTTTAAGCCTTTCAAGCCTACCACGATGTAGTCTATGACTAGTCACACCATTAAGCCATTACAATAGTGGGAGTTACATCATGAGCTGAATATTGATTTCTTTCTAGCCACTTTGACATTACCCCTATATCCCGAAAAACCAGTGAATACCCTTTCAAGAGATTCATGAAAATAACAATAGCATAGAGAAAGGGAAATCTGGGAAAGAAGAGAAAAAAAATGTGAGGTTACTGTTTTTCATGAAAAAAAGAGAGCAAGATGTGAATAATACACTCCAACCTTACGAAAGACAAGAACAATGTTAATCACTAAGTTTGGGGGAGAAAATAGGAAAAAAGGGAGTGAGAAAGGAATTCTTTCTTCATGAAGAAATAAAGAGAAAAGACCCTTCTTGGTGCATTACCTTAATGATTCTCTTGACTTTGTTTAATCTTTACCCTTTTCTTGATAGCCATCACCTGACCCTTATGCTACAAGCTTAATAAAGACCTTTTGATATGAGTTTTATATGGTTGTCGATATTAGTGAAGAGGGGTACGAAAAGCAAGCTTATGGAATTCGGAAAATTACTCATACATTCTCCTAAGAGATCCAACAGGGATTCTGGTGTGAATAAGTTAATTAGGATTGTAACGGTTTAAGTGAGAAAGGTTATTTGTTTGAATACTTGAAGGGATCACAGGTGGGGCGAGGCTTGCACTAGGTTTGAAATTCTAGACTTTGCATGGTTTGAGATTTTTCTTGAATTATGAGAATTGTACAATCTTTGAGGCTTGCTTGGTACATTAAACTGAATCGATTCTTAGCAGTTGTTTTGATGACAGTTTTAGATTTTGTCTTATTTTGTTTCATCTTTTTGCTCGAGGACTAGCAAAATGTTAAGTTTGGGGGAGTTTGATGAGTTGGTTTTATACCAATTTATTAAACTCTTACAGGTTTAATATTAGCTAGTATTAAGGTATTTTTATTAGCAAATTGATGTCGGTTTAATCTAATTCTGCAGGATGGATGCGAGCTTGATAATCTACCACAGATTACCATTAAAAGCCCACAATTAATTAGGCACAGTTTCGGCCCATTAAATGCCAACGGTGGAGGCTAAATTTGGATATCATGGTCTTGTGCTTTCTTCCAAAGATTGAACATTGGATTTGGGGGCTGATTTGGAGAGGATAGAGAGTGCGACTTCTGTGGAGAAAACCTTATCTCGAGGGAGAGTTTGAAAATGAAAACCAGATTAAGATCCGGGAGTAGAAGGAGAGCTGTTGAGAGAGAGAGTTTTACGGGGAGAGAATCAAGTTTAAACCAGAAAACCCACAGTCATAGGAGATTTTCCTCGCAGTTTAGCGGAGAGAAAAGGGGAAAAGAATACGGATTCACCCAGAGCTTTTGGAAGGAGATTCGCCAGGGCTTTTGGGAGGAGATTGACCCAGAGAAATTGCTGAGGAGGAACGGCAGAGACTTGGTGGAAAACCATCTGTGAAGTTCATCCAGGCAGATTATTAACCTTATTTTCTTCTTTTCTTCTTTCGTGAAGCACATGGTGATGTCTTCTAGAATTGTCTTTGTTTCATTTAATTTAGTTATCCGAACCTATGATTTCTGAGTTTCAATTTGAATGAGTTACAATTTATTATTTTTTCATGAAGAGTGTGTTCTATTGTTCTTAGGACTTTTTATTTATTTAATTGGGAATTGATCATAGTGATGTTTTGGATAGAGAAGCTATGTGATATGAAACATTAAATTGTGAATTGAATCTTGGATGTGAATAATATTCAAGCAAAATATAGAACATGCCATGAGTGGACGAGGAGTAACCGAATAGGGATTTTAGGACATTCATGTGGTCAGGTTAAGTTGTAACCGAGAGGGAGATTTAACCGAAAGAGGATTCCACAAAATATAATGCATCTCATATTGAATTAATCTAGAATAGACCTGAAATAAGGATATTTGATGTTAAGAATGGATGTGATAGTTGATTAGACCCGAAATATGGATAATTGAACATTAAGGAATTCTACCATCTCATGATTGATAATAATTGAGATTCATTCTTTTGAACTTGTGGATGAACTGGTGTAGGTGAAATCAACTCTCTAACGTTTTCTCTCATTGATTTCTCTCTTGAATCTTGCATCTTTATATTTTTCTTATTTTTAATCTTTATTTAGTTTTGATTCACATTACTCCCAATTTCGTAATCTTAAATAACATAGTCGGTTTTATCACTTTATTTGTGAATTTTACCAATCCTCGTTGGGAACGATATCTTACTTATCACTTTATTACTTGAACGATTAGTGCACTTGCTAGTGTTAATTTTATCGCATCACTTAACTTAGAGGATTTTCAAACATAAAAGGAATGATGCGAGATCAAGATCAAACATCAAGATCGTTTTTTCTTTTGGCTGTCTTGTGGTTAGGAGTTCAAAATACCGTAGAGGACATTGTACAACGTGTGCCCGCTCATACTCTGATCATGGAAAAGGGAATAGTAAAACAGACCAGTTAGTTGAGACTCTTTCAGAAACTGTTCCGTTTGTTGCAGTTTCTTATGAGATTCAACTGCTAATCTCCTAGAGGTATGATTTAGATTTTTTTATTTATGATATATATCGTAATAACATGATTTGACTTTTGGTTTATTTAAAAATTTTTAAAATTTCTCTGCGCATCCTTTTACTGTATTTTTTAATAATTTGACTATCATGATATCTATAAAACATACAGTTTCGGTCCATCAATTAATAAATTCACTAGTTTTAGGCAAAATGTAGCATGAGTATAACATGTTAGGGTAATATAAAATATTAAAATAAATAGTGAGATCTAAAATTATATTCTAAAAAAGAAAAAAATATAGACTGGAGACATAATTTAATGTTTTACTTCAGATGTTTTTCATTTTTTTAAGAAAAATACCGTCATGTCGTTCAAAATAATGTTAGATTTTGTTGAAAATAGACAGTTTATTAAAGGATAGTTTATCAATTAAGTAGTCAAAACTGTATATTGTAATGACCAAATAAAATTTTAATAGTTCTTTAGTTCAGAAGCACCAAAGTGTGCGCGCGCACACATAAAAAGAAAAAAATTGACCATGAAAGGAATGAAAGAATCTAATCGCAATAGAATTCAGAATTAATCACAAGCAACGAGATTAAAATATTAATATATCTATAAGAAAGTGCAATAAAGTCGAAATGGGGAGAAAATTAGTTTGGAACAAGAAGGGAAAGAAAGGAGACTATGGTATACAAATGAGCCAAAAAGAAAGAAAAGAAAAAAGAGTAAAGCAACATAAAAGAGAAAAAGGAGAAAAATGTGAAGGACCAAAAAAAGGAAGGAAAAAAAAGGTAGAGTACCATTTATAAGAAACAGTGGTAGACAAATAAGAGCTAAGCACAAAGGGGAAAAAAAAAAGGCAAAGCACCAAAATGGTGGAGTTAGAAAGAAAGATTGATTCAAGTGGTTTTAAAGAAAAAGAAAGTAAAGAAAAAGAAAAAAAAGGGTAAAATATCAAAAAGAATAGTAAAACGAAAGAAATAAAAAAAATAAGCACCAAAACGGTATGGAATAGACGACGAAAAGGGGCAAGAGAAATGGAAGAAAATGTCATAAAAAGAAGGAAAAAAAATAAAGAAAGTAAAAAAAAAAAAAGAAAAGGAAAGAATGGGATAAAAATGTCGTAAAAAAGTAAAAAAAATAAAATTATAACACAAAGAACTAAAACAGTGCAGAATAAAAGACGAGAAAATTGAACAGAGGTCCATATAAACTCTTATAATATATAGTGAAATTACTCAAAGTGCATGGTTTACTTGTGCTGCGGATGTATCTATGATCATCTACAGTAAAGCTAGAGAAGTAATTTCGACCGAATCAAGAGTCGATAATTTGTGTTAGTCCTATTGATGGGGCTGATGAAACCATTAGAAAGTGGAAGCAATTGAAGATCGAGGGATGTTATTGGTCATTTGGAGCTGAGTATAAGGAAGCTCACGAGTTCGTCTCATCCTCCGAAACGTCCTTTTCTATGTGTACGTGGGATAGCCATCCTGCCAAATTGAAGGAGAATCAAGGTAGGTGGTGAAATTTACGATTAAATTTGTTAGAGGCTAATGACTGAATTCGAATGATTAGAAAGTTAGTATCATGATTATGATGAAAATAAATAAACAAAAAAAATAAAGAAAACATGATACGAAAATTTATAATGATTCTCTTGATAACTCAAGATACATACACTGCAGGGTTTTTGAATCTTTCATCGTGAATATTAATGAAGATTACAACGGTATTCCCTGAAATGTCATGTCGGGAGAATACTATAAAAATGCAGAAAAGTATAAGTAATGCTATGGAAAACGCCTAGAAATGCGTGCAAAATGGCATGGACGTGAACGTAGTGCGTGAACCCCTTCATGGACGCATATGGGCTGCTTTTATAGGCCTTAGTGATACGAAATAACATTTAAGGTAAGTTTACCATTTGAAGATGCTCTGGGAGTCTTTCCTTATAGTGAGAATGCTTAGGGAGCAAGTTAAATTGGACATTGACTTTCCCCTTTGCTATTTTGGGCTAAATTCCACGGATTGATACTGTTGGAAAGGAGATCTTTATGCTGATTTTTGGATGCTGAGCTGGCATCCTCACTTGATGATTTGGCTAGCAGACTACTGGATTAATCGTTCGGGCAGCCGACTTGGTTGATAGCTAGGTGCTCGTTTGAGTTGCCGAAACCTTAATCTTAGCCTAATTCTCCGAGACGTATAAAGACACGCGTAAAGTGATAAATGAGGAATGAAATTTAACCTCAACAGTTAGGCCCCCATTCTGTAATCGATGATAATCAGCTTAAAAAGTAGTTCGTGTGATCCAGGTGTTGACAACACCAATTTTTGACTGCTTGTTTGAATGTTCGTGCGGCTCGTAGGCCAACTTGGATGATTTGGACGGCTAGCAAATGATTCACGCGGCTAACTGATGCTTTTGCGAGTCACCTGAAGTGGACCCTCCGTTTGAGCGCGTGACGTGGCGTGTTCTGGTCAGTTGACAGTTGAAATAAAACTAATCTTGCCTAATTATTTAAGCCATTGGACTAGTTATTTGGGCAGCCGACTCTGCTGATGGCTAGCGGCTTGTTTTTTTCGCCGGATCT